ACGCCGCCACCGCCGCCCTGGCCGAGCTGGCCCAGCACCCCGCGCTGGGCGGCCCGCTCCTCGCCCGCCACCTCGGCCTCCTCCTCGCCGGTCTCTGCCTGCTGGGCCACGGCCCCGCCGCCCACAGCGAGGTCCGTGGGTCCCCTCTCCTCCTGCTCCCCCAGCGCTGCCAAAAACGCGTCGGGGTCCCCAGCCTCGCCGGAGCTCGCCCGCTGGCACCGCTCCCCGTGCTCCATGGCTGAGCCCATGGCCGTGCTGGGCTCCCGCTCGCTGAGCCCCGGGGCTCCCTGCCCATGGCAGCTCCCGGGCCATGCACCCTGATCGTGATGGGAGAGAAGAGATGGGAGCCCGGGCGAGGGGCTGGAGGGGCTCCGACACGCAGTCGGGACCGTCCTCACCACGACGGGGTTTGTTTTTTTTCCAGGGCATTTCGGAAGCAGAACGAGCACGGTGCCGGGAGGCCCTGCGGCACATCCTGGACCGCGTCTACCAGCCGCTGGCGGTGCGGGAGCTGCTCATCCTGCAGGGACGGCCCAAGCAGGTACCCGGTGGTGGCTGCGGCGGCGGGGCCGTCCCCGGCGCGGGGTGCTCGGGGCGTGTACCGCTTGTGGTGCTGGGCCTGTGTGTTCCCATGCTCCGAGGGTGCCTTTGCTCCCCTGGAAATGTTCTTACACCTTAAAAACCAGTTTAGCACAGCAGCCCCATCCCCGAGTGCTGTGTGAACGAGCGGGTGGAGCTGCTGGGTGCGCATCGCTCGCGTGGCAGCAGCTCGGGCCCCGCCGTGCAGGGGCGTGTGAATTCGGGAGCTCTCATCACAGCACGCGCCACCTTGGCTCGGCAGTCACATCCACTCTGCCCAGCCAAGCAAAGTGCCTTCTCTTCCAGAACCTGCCCCGTTCCATTTGAGGGGACGAAGCGGTGCTGCCTCGGCACCGGCTGCTGCTCCTGGCCGTTTCAAAGGCTGCCTCGTGGCAGCGGGGGGGAGGAGATGGGGAACGGGTGCTCTCTGGGGAGACCTTCGTGTTGTTTGGAGAGTCGCCGGGGAAGGGACCGCATCCCAGCTCCGAGCGGGTGCTGTGGGTGGGTGCGTGCCCGCCTGCCACGCCACAGCTCAGGGTCGGGATAGCACGGGGCTGCTGGCTCCGTGCTGCGCGCCAACCCTCCGTCTGGGATCGCACGCGATTCCCGAGCAGGCGGAAGCTGGCCTTCCCACGTGCGAGGGCTGCAGACGGTCCGTACGAGGCACTTGCGCGGGGCAGCGCTCTCGGTGCATGCTGTGGTTCTTCCGCATAAAAGCAGGGATCTCCTGGTTAAACAAAACCCGAGCTGATATTTGGGCAATACCCTTAATAACATGCTTTAACTTTTGGTCAGCCCTGAAGTGGTCAGGCAGTTGGACAAGATGATTGTTGCAGGTCCCTTCCAGCTGAATATATTTTAATCTGTTCTATCCCCCACCAGTGCAGCAGCGCCAGCCCACCTCCTCGGGGTGTCCGAGCAAGCACCTCCATTCGAACCGCTCACTTTGTGGGTTCGCAGCCTCCGGACAGCTCTGCTGTTTGTGCTGTCCCGGCGGATTGCTTTGCTCGGCCAGGGAGCCTGCGGGCTCACGGTGCCACCTCTGCAGCCCAGCGCTCTGTGCCGGGTCCTGGCAGGGGTCACCGCTGCGGATCCCTTACCTGCATCGAACCCAACTTGTCCCCCGAGCCCCCATGCACCGTTTTGGTAATGAGGCAGAGCTGCTGCCTGACCCTGAGAGGCTTTAATTAAAGGAGGGGAGCTCTGCGCAAGGGGATGCTCTTGGGAAGGCTGGCCTCTCTCATTAAGCCCTAATTCGCTTTGTGCCACTGGATGAAGAAGTGATTTATTTAAAAGGTTTCCCTGTCCTGTGCTCCTGTCTCAAGTCCTGCAGGGCAGGGTGCAGGCTGTTTGCCTGCTAGTGAGGGTTTGCACAGGAGTGTGCAAATATGCTCCTTAGCCTGCTCCTTTGTTTCCTTTCAGAGTCCTCCCTCTCCTGGGGAAGAAACAAAGCCGGCCCTTGTGCGGGCTCCGGCGTGGCTGCGGCGCCTTTGTGGTCAGCTGCTCTCCGAGAGGCTGATGAGACCCAGCGGGGTTCAGGCTGTGGTTCGGGGCATCATGGAGGGAACAGGCGGTGAGTAGGGTGCTCTGACGCTGCTCTTGGCTTCCAGGATCGCAGATTAAAAGAGACTGTGGTGATCTGTCTGAGACGTTTTATCCCATGAGAGGCCCGGGAAAGACAGTGCCATCAGAGCACTGAAATGGGAAACAGCTTTTGTCAGGCCAAGCTGACTCTGTGATGCTCACGCAGATTTTGCCTCTGTCTATGCTGAACTCCCAAACAGTGAATGCCTCCCAACTGCAAATGCCTCTAGTTCGGCGTACACCGTCACATTTGAGGTCCAGACTGAAAGCATCCAAACTCATTTAGTCTGTTTATGCCTCCGTGGGGTCACACCCTGTGTGTGTACGGAGCGCGGCTCGTTCCGAGGAGCTGTGCTGGTGCCGGTTTGGTGGGAGCAGCGCTCGGCGCTGGGCTGTGTGCAGCTGCAGGCGGAGTGAGACCTGTCCCCTCCGGGGCTCGGCAGCCTTGTTCCCCTGCTTCCCGTTTCCTGCCAGGGAGGGAAATTGTTGCTCTCTAAAAGCCAAATCCCACAGTTTCTAGTGCCAAAGCTTCCTCTGGCCAGTACCAACCTGATGACACCATCCAAGCATGACCTCCCTCCACCTCTTAGCTCATACACCTATTTGTAGAAGTTGTTTTCCACTATCAGAGGTCTTGCACAATAATTTTTCCCCTTCTGTCCTTAAGCACAGGTGTCTCCTGAAAGATGCTTGGTTTAAAGAGAGTAATAAAAGCTAGAAACCCAATTTTCTGCCAGAAACATCTGGCTTCAGCCAAAAATGCCCCTGCGTTTGCTGTCAGTCTGAGCTGATCTTGGCTTTCTGCTGGTGTAGCAGGTGGCGGTGGTGCTGAAGCAGCAGCTGTGGACTGGAGAAAATGCGACATGGTTGCAAAGATCCTGGCTTCCTGCCCGCAGCAGTGCCTTTCCCTCGAGGACTACTACCGGCTGGTATGCCCCCAGGTAGGTCCCTCTCTCCCCGCAGCATGCTGGCTCCGGCTGGGAATGCAGAGCCGGCTCCCGGCTTGGAGAGCATCAGTATTGTCGCTTCTGCTTGAGCGTGGCCTGGCTCGAGCCAGGACAACGTGGAGATGTTTTTCTGCCGCTCTGGCAGCGGGACATGTTTCCACCCTACTCTTGAATTTTCCACATTTGATTGAAATGCTGGATAACGTTGCTGGATCACACGAGCTGTTCAGCACTGCGCTACAAGGAGCTCTGTGCTGTGGAGCTCTTGCTTCCAGCCTTTGGCTATGGGAGTGGTGCAGGCTCTTGGTTTGAGCCCAGAAATACATCCCGTGTTAACGTGTGCATGGGAAGGAGACCGGCTCTTCCGTATGCGGAATGTTGTGCCAAACATCCAGCAAAGCAGCGTACAGGAGGCTCCTCAGTCTCCGCTGTTGGCTGCAAGGAGCCGGCCTGCCCCCCTCCTAAGGGGCTGCTGATCTTTATTCCTCTATTGCGGACTTTCCTTCCAGATTCTGGACTTGCTGCACATCCAGGACAAACTGACAGCGCGCCAGTTCCAGCGAGTGGCCACCACCACGCTGCTCACCATGGCGAAAGAGCACCCTCAGCTGGCAGAGAAGCACCTGCTCCAGCCCCTGTTGGCACCACTTCTGCGGTGCTCGGAGACAGCAGGTACCCGCTGGTCGCTGCCCAGCCCCAGATCGGAGAAGGGTCTGGTTTCTCTTCTCGCTGATCTTTGTCTTTCCATCAGAATTTTCTCAGGGGCCGGTGGCTGGGGCTGCGGAGCGTGCAAGCCCGGCTCTGTCAGTTGGGAGTGTGTCTGTGTGGCTGGGTGCACCATATTTACTAGTGCTTGAGTCAAATTGCTATAGCGTAAGAGCCAAGTAGTGGGGCTTCTGCCGTTTGCTCTTTGGGAAGCTCTCCAGTCTGACAGTCTCGTTTTGGGCTTCCGGACGGAAGCCATCAGTTCCCCACACTGAGCAAACAGCTCTCCGGGGAATAATCCATCACGAAGTTGTGGTCTGCTTTGATTTGCTTGTCACATTGCAGAGTTTACGACACTGCAGTGATATTTAGCACTGCTAACGAGGGCTCATCGGTTCCCACGCTGCCCTGATGGAGGGGAGGGAAGGCAGGAGAGCTATCAGGGTGCTTTCTGGTGCTGGGCATGGTGGGGCTGCCATTCTGCTGGAGACCCCTCGGTATGGGGAGGAGCAGGGGTGCTGATATTTCTGCCCTTTGTTTTCAGAGATAGCAGTGGAAGATTTATCAGCAGGGACTGTGCTGGTGACGGAGGCAGAGCTCGGCAGCTGTGTGGAAGATGTGCTCAAGGTATCGTGTCTGATTTGGGCCTGAGGGTAGGCAAGAAAACTGCTCTAAGAGAGAGCTGGTTTGGGACTTTCTGAGCAGTTCAGCGTGTGTGTTACACCATGACAAAAACCAACGTCTCCCGCAGTCGTGATGCTGAGGCGAGGCCGAGAGCTGTGCAGAATAACCTTGTACGCAGCGCTGCACTTGAGGGGCTGCAGCTTTATGCTGGATACCAGAGGCACTGCCTGAATCCTTTCAAGCATTCTCGCCCCAAAACATTCTGCAAGGTGGCAGTGAGCTCTTGCTGGTTGTTTTTTCCCAGTGTCTTTCTGATGTGTCAAAGTACGAAGAGTCTGAGCAGTGGGCTAGTAGCCAAGAGTCTCCATGGTGCTCTCGTATCCTCTTTCTCAGTGAGCTGCAGCGAGACTTTCTGAGCATTGCTAAATTGCTCAGCTTCTATAGGACTGTTGTAGGGTGTACAGCGCAGCTTCAGGCCTTGGGCTGTGATCGTAGAGCAGGTAACAGTAGAGCAGGTGGGAGGTCCTGGTCAGGAGTACCGCTGGCCTGGTGCGTGTTGCCTCAGGCTGTCAATCCCTGTCCGAGCTGATGCCGCTCACCTACCGGCGTCGGAGGTGTGCAGTTGGTCAGAGGGAAGGACGGATCGCAGGGAATCCTGTACATGCTGAACCTTCAGAGGATGCCTGAGCTCTTCTCCCAGGCTGTCATTGGCCCACCCTCCTCTTACGGCCTCCGTGCCTCAGTTTCCTTCCTGTAGAGCGTGGATAATACGGCTCTTACTGAGCCCAGGGTTATCTGTGTGGGAGGGAGAACCTGCTGGGAGCTGCTCTCCCTGCCTCTGAGGTCTGCAGAGGGCAGCGTGAGCCAGAGTGCAGGAGCTGGAAGCCTTCCTACAGCTCCTGCAGCATTAACCCCTTGTGGCGGGATGGGTGGCAGCCAGCTCTTGCGTTGGGCCAAAATGCTTCCAAAATGAGTGACATGGAAAAGAGGGCATTCGAGGTATTGGCGAGCGGCTGGCCAGCTCAGCCCTGCAGTGAGGGCAGCTTGGCAGAGCCCCAGGCTCGTAGCTCAGTGATTGTGCAGCCAGTTGGCAGCGAGGCATTCGCAGTGGGTGCTGTGAAGCGAGCAGATTCGGTGTGGCTCTGAGGCTGCTGAGCTGTCACTGAGGTGAAAAAGAGAGTGAAGGTGAGCTCGGAGGCATCGCAGAGCTGCGGGGAGAGGTGGGAGAGCTGTTGTAGTTATCCTGCTGGCTGCTGTTAGGAAGCAGAGAGCGCGTGGGTACGGGGAAAGGAGGGTGGGCAGCAGCTCAGGCACATGGGAGATGCTGTTAGTGGCTGTGTCCTCACCTCGGGTGTCCCAGAAATGGGGGGGACACTGCAGCTGGTCCCCATTGGGTGTCCCCAGCGGTTTGTCTCCCCCTGCGGATACCTCTCGGGGGCTAAAGGCATTACAGTCTATCTAGTCCCATTGGACAAGTAAGGTAAATTGTTAAGTAAGGACAAGATGAACAGCCTGTTTTGCAGGGACCGTTCTCAGCTGCACCCCATGACACATGGGTTTCCCCCTGCATGAAGTTCATGTTGCAACTGCGGGTGGGTGACCCTTTGGCAGCTGCTGCTGGGTGTCCGGCCACCTCCCCTGCTGCCCTGCGCTCCGGAGCTGCTCTTGGTGCAGGACGGCACCTGGTGGCAGTGGTGGGGCCTCGGAGCTGGGCTGTGTGTCTGTCTGCCGAAGCGGGAGGGATTGCTGAAGCTCAGCAGCAATCCCAGCCCGATGTTCAGGCCCTGATCAGGTGCCGGGGGACGGGGAGGGTTCAGGAAAATGGAAGGAAACTCAGGCCTCATCGGAGAAATGCTCTGGCTTTGCTAATAACAGACCGCCTTCCGCGGTAGAAGAAATGTCTTGTGGGCAGGATGGTGCAGATTTAGCACCTTCTGTGGAGCTCCTTCCTGCAAGGGGTCCCTTGCAGTGACAAGCAGGGTGTTCAGCAGTGCAGATCTTGGCTCTGGCGTTTGGGGGAGAGGTGGGGTCCATCCTTGTGCTCCCTGTGAAGGAACAGGGCTGTTCGGCGGAAGCCGCTCTTCTGAAACCTTCCCTCATAGCTCCTTTTTCTGCCTTTCCCACCAGTATCACCAGTGCTGCGCTGCAGGCTTCGCTGCCTGCCCTGACAGCAGCCCAGCTTTCTGCTGCGCCTTCCAACCCAAAAGGACATCTCCAACCCAGGAATTCAATTTTAAGAAGCTGGTGACTTGCTTACTGGCATGCCCCTAGGCAGGCTAAGCTCTTAAATGCTGTGATTGTTGTAGTATTTTGCGTAGTAATGATGTGTTGTAATGAGCTGGCAGGCAGAGACCAGTCTGGAGGGCTGCTCTGTGGCTGCCGTTCACAATGCGAGTGCTGGGGGAGTGTGGGGCGGATCCGTCCTTAATGGCGTAGTGCTGGAGGCCTGACAGCAGCCAGATTAGCGAGGAAGACTCCAGCCTGCGGGGGATTTGCAGGGGTTTCTTGCCTAGCAAGTGTCATTTGATGCTGAGTGGGAAACCATCCTTGGGGCTTCATCAGGGAGGCTTTGTGTACAAAATGTTCTGGTTAGGAAGAATGGCTCCACAGGGATTAGCGCAGGAAGAAAGGTCTGTTTGCATCAGTAGAGCAGGGCAGGACATTATCAGGACAATCTCCCTCCCGGTCCTCCTACCTGGGTTGTCACACTGCCTCCAGCAGGCAAAAGCTCTTTGGTCTGTCCCCAGGGCACTTCCAGCCCTGGAGCAGGCGATTGCTCTCCAGCTGCGGGTTTCGGAGGTGTGGGGAGTGCTCTGGTGTGAAGGGACAGCATCTCCTGAGCAGGTAGTTCACCCGCTGAGACAACTGGAAGTCCCTTGGAGAACTTGTGAAGAGACTTTATTTCCCCCCCCCTTTTTTAAAGCTAAAAGCTATGGAGGGGAGATAGAGCCTGCTGAAATGAGGACCTGAACCCAACAACCCTGAGTAAACCCTGAGTCCAGCTGGGCAAGGCTTGGTATTTAACCATTTTCTAGACCGAGTTTTCCCAGCATTATGGCTTTGACTGAAAGCATCCTACCTGGCTTTTAGTTTTGGACAATTCCTTTACAAGGATTAAAAAAGAAACACAATGTTGTAAGACTTCTGTGAGTGTTTTTCCTGTGCTCTGTGGGCAGCGAGGTAGGACTTGGGTGCGGTGAGCTGGTAACAGTGGCTTGCCTGGGAAGGGGGTGCTGGTTTCGTGGAGGAGGGCATTGACAGCGATTCGGGAGGATGCTGCTTGAGATGGAGGAGAGGAGCATGGCCCTACAGCCTCCTCGGAGCCCCTGCAACCCGCTTGCTCGGCTCAGCACACGGCTGCCCTGCTAGGGACTGATCTCTGTATTGGAGATTTGGCTCTAGGTGCAGTATTTCCATGAAGATTTGCTAATTCAAAGGTGCCCGTCGCATCTCTCTGCAACGCAAGACCTTACCCCTAAGCAGCAGACTGCCCCAATAGCTAGCTGCTGCGTTCCTGTAGCTTGGAGCCCTGCTGTGGTTAAGCAGATGCTAGGAGAAAGATGGTGCTGAAGGCTGCTTTAAATACAGACTATGGCATAATCAGGGAAAACAGGCTCCAGACTGAAAGGAAGAGAGGCTGTAAACCCTCTGCCGTCCTCCCTGGTGGCAGCCGTTCTGCGCAGAGATGTGCTTTCTGTCCTTCCCTTTGCCTTCCCTCTGCTCCACGCAGGTGTTTGACTCTCCTCCCCGTGCCTTTCTCTCCGTAGGTGTATGTGGTTGGAAATGACAGCTCGAGCCTGCTGCTGGGATCCTTACAGTCAGTCCTGGGAGTGGTTTTTTCCCTTTATTCCTTCGCCAAGCAGAATGTGTCATACTTACGGTAAGGAAGGATTGTGCACGGCTTCTTCTGGGGTTTCATCTTCTCCGTTCTGCCCACCTCCAAAGGACGTGCTGTACATGGGCACGTACAGAAGCCGAGACCAATTTTCTCACCCTGAAGAGCTCTCACTCAAAGTAGGCAATAACCGCAGGCATAGGCACGGTGCGTGACCTTACTGGCAGACCTGTGCCTGAGGAAGCAGTTCTCGCGTTAGTTTTTGTCTTCCCTGAAGCCAAAATGTTCAGTGTAGAGGCAAGCGTGCCCCGCGGGAGCCATGGGAGCACAGGTTAACTCTTCGTGCCCGCCTAGGAGCAGGGATTGTGGTTGTCTGTGGACAGGCGCTGGGACCTGGCTGGGTGTCAGAGGGGTCTGGGTACCAGGGATTTAGAAACAGGAGAAAAACGGGATAAAACAGCTTGAGTGCTGGCTTTTGGGAAATACACGATCATTCTTCTCCGATCTGGGATCACGCTCTTGCGATACGTGCAGGACCTGCCTCTCGGCAGCTGTCCCTCGCGCTGCGCCCAGCTCCTCCGCGACTGGTGTATGATGGTGAACACCGCGTGCGTCAGTCACGGTGGCAGGGACAGTGGTGACCAGATGCTGGCTGTCCTCTCTCCTTTCTCCTCCCAGGCTTTCCCTGGGCTGCCCTGAGTTTGGGCCAGCCTAGCAAATACGCTCCCGGTGGGTTTATGCTTTGCTTTGGTGATACTGGCATGCGGGTGCTGGGGGCTTTCCCTAAAAGGTCCGTGTTGACACGGCCTCTGCTATTAGTAAAGACATTGTTGATCACTGCGAAGAGTAGTGAGTGCAAGTTTGTAGAACGAGCCAAGTTAACACTGCTGCTGGGTGAACAGAGTTGCTGCTCACTTCTCTCTTTGCAAAGGAATTTGGCAGGGGTAACTAAAACCAAAGCTGCCTGGAAGTGTTCAGGTTTCCAGACCCCTGGCACAGCACTGCTACTCTGCCTCATTAACCTGCATCTTTCCCTGGCAGGGGTTCCCATACCACCTTCCAGTGCTCCCTGTCTCCTCCCTCCTCTTCCTTGGCACAGCTGACAGCTCTGTGCTTTGTCAGGTTGGCGTGAAGCACCAGGCACGGCTTGCCAAGGCTGCGTGGAAGTGGCTGTCCTTGTACAGACACGCTGTTCAGACAGCGCTCCCTTCCTCACTGGCCTGAAATCTTGAAGGACCCAGATCCTTCCATCTGGGAACGCCAGAAGGACAGGATGCGCTGCTGATCCCCTTATAAACTGGCACAAATGCCTTCAGCCGCCGGAGCTGGCGGCCCAGAGCATCCCAAGGAGTGTCCGTGGTTGCTCCGGAGCACTCTTGTCCTTTCCCTTGCCCCGAGACACGCGGTCCCGTCGCAGTGCTGGTGTGCAGGGAAGGGTGCAGCGGGCAGAGCAAGGTCATCACTGCTTTCTCTCTCCTTGCCAGCTCCCTGTGCCAGGAGATCCTGCTGTGGTTCTTGGAGAAGTCGGAGCGAGAGGTGTCGCTGGCTGTGCTGGAAGGCTTTGTGGGGCTGAACAGCAGCGTGCGCGCCCTCCACCCGCAGTGCCAGTTCTGTGCGGGCAGCGAGGGTGGTGCTGCCATCGCGGTGGAGGAGACCATCAGGTGAGTGCTGGTGGGGCCGTGCCAGGCGTGGAGGGCAGTCCCCGGGCCTTATTCAGCACGTAGGGTGTTTCACGGCATGCCTGGCAGAGAGAGCCCCGGTGAGCGTGGGGCTGCTAGTGCCATCCCACCGCAGTCTCGTCCCACCAGGTGCCCAGGTAGCCCAATGCTCCCTGAATTCAGCTTCCACCCTCCAGCCTGAGCCTGTCTTGTGGCAGATCGCGGCTGTGTGGAGCGAGTGGAATCCCTCAGGCGTGGGTGACACCGTCGCAGCAAGGACTCTAGTGATGCCAGCCTCACGGAGCCAGCAACTGAAGTCCCCTCCTGCTCTTGCAGATGGTCTCCACAAGTAGAGGCAGAGTGTGGCCATGTGGGGAATAAACTGCAGCCATTAGGTTCCAGCCACGCAAACTGGGACTGCTGAGCAATGTGACATTTGGTTTACCGAGGGGTAGCTGTTATTCGGCAGGCACGAGCCCAAGGCGATGCTATGGAGCAGGCAGAGTGCACAGCTCCTGCCCAGGAGTGTCCACGGGCTGGGTGTGCTGGGAGCTGTGGCACCCGTAACAAAACCCCGTACAAATACGCTCGTTTTGGTTTCATTTCAGTCTATTCCTGACCTGAATTAGAAGAAGGTCTGCCCTGGGGTCTGTGCTGGTTAAACTGGGTATAAATTAAAATTACTCCTTAACGGCCATGGCTCTGCCCGTGTCTGTCCTACTTTTATGGCTATGACCGTTGCATGAATTAGCCAGCGCTAATCCTGTTCTTTATAGGGTGGCGGGATTAAATGTGTTTTTTGCACTCATGGTTTCTGTTGATGTTACTCCTTTAATGAATGCAGGTTAATTAATAAACTGAGTGCGTGATCGCGTAGACCAAATGAACTGAGCAATAGTTTGGCTCAGTTGCCCCCAGGCTTCCACTCGCTGGTGGTGCTGGGAACGAAGGTTTCCAAGAGGAGGCTGAAGCAGGGTTTCACCTTGCTGTGGAGTAGTTCAGAGCCAGCCCTGGAGGGGGTCTGGGTACATTCCTGTTGGTGACACAGTGACCTGTTTCAGCGATGAAGATGAGGCCCTCTACCAGAAGGTTTCCTTGGAGCAGTGCCATGTGGAGAACTTGGTGGAGCTCTTGTCTCACTGCCAGAAGAGTGGTCTAGCCGGAGACTTCTTCATCCGCTGCCTGAAGGTAAGGGCAGGCAAGTCTCTGTTTGGGGCACATCTGCAGGAGTGGTTTCCCTGGGCCAGGCGGCCTGTGTGGCAGATGGCAAAGGGGACCGGTCGTCCCCTTACGTGCCTGGGGAGCACGGAGCCAGGGTATGGCACACGGTGGAGCCGTCCTGCTGTGTGCCGGGCAGCAGAGCCTGGGAGAGGGAGGCAGCCCTGGTCCCTGAAGGGGTTAACCCTTGTTCCTCTTGGGCTCATTTGACAACAGGAGCATATCTGAAGTTTAATGGTGTGTTAGAGGCTGCAAATAATCCCTGTTGCTCCCTTTGATCCCGCTCTGAGCCCCTGCAGTTCCCTCCTGGCCTTGCCTGGGCTGGGCTTTCTGTGCCCTTGCTGGTGGGTAGAGCCCCAGCCTGTAGTCACACAGGGTTTGCAGCGTCCCGGGTGTAGGGACGCTGCTGTGACACAGGTGGGACACGCAGGAACCATGGGCAGCTCTCGGAGACCTTGGTGTACCGAGTGGAAGGTCCTGGTTGTGTGAGGAGTCAGCATGAGCTCTGCGAAGGGGTCGGGGTGTCCGGGTGCCTTTGTGAGGAGGCGCTGCCAAAAGCAAGGCCGCAAGCAGAGACGCAGCAAGCCTCACAGCCCGGAGGATGGTTGGCGCTCGGTGGTGCTGTGCGGTGTCTGCAGGGACGGAGGTTTGCGAGGGTTTGGCCTGGTGACAAGCGTGTGTCTGGAAGGGGCCGAGGCTGGAAGAGGGGAGGTGAAGGGGAGCCCTTTGCAGCAGGGTGGAGGTCTGGGGAACGTGGACCTGCTGCGCCCAGGACCACTGGAGCGGTGACCGCAGTGTTCCTGGCACTGATTGCCTGTGTTAACCATTGCCTCTCTGTGCTTCCTTCCCGGCAGGAGCTGACTCGCGTGGCTGCGGAGGACGAGGCGGATTCGAACTCGGCTGCAGTGCCTGGAAGGAGCCTCCTGGAGCTGGAGCAGTACCACGCTGGGCAGAGGAGGAAGCTGCTGGTCCTGCAGCTCGTGGCCACGCTGTGTGAGAGCGTCTCGGACACCGTGTTCACAGACATTGCTCAGGTTGGTCATGGCAAAGCCCTGGGGGATCGGCAGCTGGAGCGTGTGGCAGACCGAGCTCTGAGCCGCTGGGCTCTAAGGAGACAATGGCTAAGAAACAGCTGGAGAAAGCTAGAGCATCCCCAGGAAAAGCAGTTTATTGATTCAGGTGCAAGTGTCTCAACAAGACACCGTCCTGTGCAGTGCCAGCAGGAAGGACAGAGTCAGCTGCAGAGACAGGAGGGAGCAGCCCAGCAGACATCTTCGTATTTGTGTCCGTGGTTGTGTATTAAAAGCCAAGCGAGTAGTCCGTGTGTTAATCAGAACTCTGACTTACCAGCTTCTTGTCTTTATTTTGAGCAAAATGTATTCCCGAGCTTCACAAAGCTTAAAGACATCTGCACCCGACAGACCTTTTTAAGTGAGTGCTTGCTGCCTGTCCATGGTGTTGGTGCCTGGGTTTTCTGGCCCGACTCAGCAGCCACCTCCAGGAGCTGCGGTAGCCAGGCTGCCAGCCGGACGAACGCGGCACAGCACCGCTGCCGCGTCCTGCTCGCCCCATGTCCCCCAGTAGGCCATTCGTGGCTTTTCTCTGGTTTCTGCTGCTGAGATGCCCGCACCGAGTGGTGTGTCTGGTCAGCAGGGCTGGCGTAACTGTGCTCATACGGCCAGCGCTTGTCCATGTCGTCATGAATGGGCAGCCGCAACATTTATTAAATATTATAATTCCAAAGGCCAGCTGAGACTCATTGAACCTGCTCCCAGAAAGGATTGTTAAAATCTGGCACTTCTGTCCGCCCTGAGCCCACGCTGCAGCAACGCTGAAGGGGATCGCCCGTCCTGCACCATGCCGGGTCGGGAAGGCTGCTGGGCGCCGAGGGCAGCACGGTATTCCCCAGCTGATCGGTGCATTTTAACTTCCTCATCCTATGTTTTTTGGTTTTTTTAAACTCGGTGACCTGGTTACGCCAGTTAACCGAACGGCTTGAGCAGAGGCGGTCACTGCTAACGCAGGTTTCCTCACTTTTCTCTTTGGGACAAAGGAGTCTTTGTGTGCTCTGCAGCGAGGGAGGGGACCCAGCCGGTGTCACGGCGGCGCCCGCTGGGGCAGCAGCCGGCGCTGCTTTGTCCTCGCCTGCCTCTCCATCATCCCGCCCGCGCGGGCCCGGCTCCGCTCCCTGGGTCAGAAAGTTGGGATGGGAAATGGGGAAGGATTTTGTCAGGTTTCTGGGTCCAGCTGTGAGTCTAGTATAAAAAGAAACAACCACCGAAAACGAAACCCGGAGCAAGCCATTACCCTTCCAGCCGGGGCTGTATTTCAGGGAGCGCTCCCTCGGGCTGGGACAGCGGTTGCAGGGCTGGTTGGAGGTGGGTTCTGCCGCACAGGGCTCCTCGGGGCGTTGGTTCTTGCTGTGGGCGCTCCGGAGCGTGGCTTTGGGCATAATGGGGTCGGAGCAAGCAGGATCCCTCTTCCCAAAGCCAGACCCCAGGAATTGCGGCAGCTGTGGACCCCCTCAGTTGCACAATTTATTTTATTTACATTCCCCCCCCTCACAACCGAGTTTCATGAGATCGGCTTTATTCCCTTGGTGTACACCAAGGGTGCTCTCCTGCATGAGACAGAAACGTGCCCCAGTGTTTTATTTTTCAAGCTTTTTTCCCCTTCCAAATGAAGGTAGGTTTTTTTCCCTTCTAGATTTGGTGGGGCTTTTTAACCTTTTGTTTTTCTCAGTAGCTGACTACTGATAGATCATTTATTCACGATGTTCCTATTTTTTACATTAAATACAATTTCAACCCCTTCAGCTTGTGTGTCGCTTTTGTGAGAGCAGATGTTCTGACACTTAATTTTACTTTCTTGCTGTTTGACGGCGTTTCTTCTCTGGATTAATCAGCCCAGAAGGTACCTCCGCCTTCTCCGCAGCCTCTCCCAGCCGGCCTCCCTGCGCTGCGGGAGGGCTGCGCTTAACGAAGCCGGCAGCGATCAGCTCTCCCGCTGATAAGGAAACCCGGTGCCCGTGCCCTGGAGGCTGTGGGGTTTGGTGCAATAGTACCTTGTTGCCCTCGTACTTTGTTTTCCAAAATAAGAGCAAAATAGTTCCTCTTCTTTTGCAACGCGGCCGTTATGCAGGAACGACCCCGGTCCAAACCCTTCTCGGCATCGCTGGGTGCTGCCGGAGACGGCGAGCTCGCCCCGAGCCGTGCGGTGCCAGCGCAGCTAGCGAAGGCGTGGAGAAAATAAATTCACTAATTTCAAGCCCCGTTAGAAAGGCGGGAAGCCTGTGGGATCAAAGATGTTGGTGCCAAGTGTGGAGAAGGCCAACACCAGCCAGGCGGGATCGTTATGGGCTCGGGGGAAAAAAAACTATTGTGAGAAAATGACAAAAGAAGTGACACACGTGGTAAACGGCCCGGCTCCAGCATCGGCTGCGGTGGGTAAATGGTGTCCGAGAGCAGGGAGCTGTGGGGCGGCCGGCAGGAGCTGGAGCCGTGTCGGGGAGCGACCCTGGCCTGGGGAAGGGGCTGCTCTTCCCCAGAGCTTGCAGGGGGCAGACAGGCGTGATTTTTGTTGTAATGAAGTTTGAGCCATGCTAAAAGCCCTGCTCAACTCCGGCCATTGCTGCCGTGCCGTGTGCCGGCGGTCGGCAGCACCGGTGCCTTCCCAGAGCCGTGTGCTTTTTAGCTCTCGCTGTCTCTGCTTGCATCTATTTGCATTTTCCAAGCCCAAGCCTTTCTCTAGCACAATTTCCTACGAACTCTTTGTGTTTCCTCGTTATTGCCGCCACCCTGACCTTCCCTCTCTGACTCATTCTGGTTGGCTTTCCAGCTCCCATCCCATGGCCATGGTGGGGCAGGACAGGGGGCAGAGAAGGGGCTGGGCTGCCTCCCCCTGCCCCTGCAGCCCCCACGGGGGCTTCTGCTGCCAGGAGCAGCCACCGCGGTTTAACCATCGCTTTGTCCTGGGGCTGCGGTGGACGGGCAGCGTGAGCTTGCCCAGCCCACGCCGGAGCCCGGCAGCTGATGGACTGAGCTGTGTGGCTCAGCCGCCTTCCCAGCCTGGCTCTCAAAATCCTCGCCCACCGGTTCAGCCGTCCCGGCGCGGGGCTGGGGGCTGCCACCCTGGCAAATCAGCCCGGCTGTGCTAATGCCGGAGCGGTGGGCAGTGGTTCAGGGCTCCAGCACCACCTTGGGAGCCTCGGCTCCCTCCGGCATCCCCGGCGCATCCACAGTGGTGCCAACAACAGGGAAACACGAAGGGTTTGTATGAAATGGTGCTAGAGAAAGGCTCAGGCTTGGAAAATTCAAATAGATACAGAGACAGCGAGAGCTGAAGAGCACGCGGCTCCGGGAAGGCACCGGCACCCCGAGGCGCGGGCAGGGGCGGCCTCCCGGGAGCGCCCTGGGGATCCCCCTCCTAACTGCTCTTCCCCGCACTCTCTGCTGGCAGGTGGAGGAATTTGTGGCAGCCACGCTGCAGCGGGCCTGCCTCAGCCCGGCGCGGGGCCCCGGCG